CATAAAATCTTACATTAAATTTTTAATTACATTGAATATTTAAAAATGGACATGGGAAAAGCCTAGCATAAAAACTTAAAAAGTGGCTGAATAATTCTTGCTACATACACACAAACACACACAACAGATAAGCAAAGAACAAAAACTCAGTAGAAAACGTATAGAGTTTATAGAAAAGTAAATTCAAATGTTGCTGTGTAAATAACGAAGCACTATTTGTAAAAAGAAAAATGCAAATTAAAATTAAAGGTTTTTTTTTTTAATTTACATTATCAAAAATAGACTATCTAGAGTTTTGAATGTGTTGAGATTCAGGAACTCTCAGATCTGCACAAGCTCATTAGAACTATATCTACAGCAAAATCATGAATAAATTCATAACCAGCAATTATGTTCCAGGAATTGATGTAATGACATTCTAGCTTTATGATGAGGATCATCAGACATAGAGAGGATGGGTTAGGACATGCTATTGTTTGATCCAGGAGAAGAGATGACCAGATAGTGAATAGTAGGCTCTATTTCTGAAAAAGGAGAGTAGAAAACATGAATAGTTGAAGTCTTTGTCTCAGCATTTCGGCCGCCATGTGGTACTTACCCCAGCCCAAGTCAACAGTGGCTGCTTGAAAGTTTCTCTCTTTCCCTGGACTGGAGGACCACGAAACAGGCATGGCCTAGGCTTCGGAGATCTGAGCGAGGATGACTGGAACAGCACAGGCTGTGTGGAGAGAGGAAAGGCATTACATCAGCCGCCTTTTTTTTTTTTTAATTTTATTTTTTTCTTATCAGTTACATTTTATTAACTCTGTATCCCAGCCGTGTCCAGATCCCTCATTCCCTCCCAGTCCCTCCCTCCCTCCCTCATCTCCACCGTGCCCCTTGCCAAGTCCACTGATAGGGGGGACCTCCTCCCCATTCATCTGATCCTGTTTTATCAAGTATCTTCAGGACTGGCTGCAAAGCTCTCCTCTGTGGCCTAACAGGACTGCTCCTCCCTTGGGGGGTGGGGAGGTCAAAGAGCCAATCATTGAGTTCCTGTTAGAAATAGTCCTTGTTCCCCTCACTATGGGAAACCAAGTGGTTACTGAGCTACCACAGGCTACATCTGAGCAGAGGATCTAGGTTACATTCATACATGGTCCTTGGTTGCATGTGAGTCTCAGAAAAGACCCTGTGCCCAGATATGTTTGGTCCTTGTGGAGCGCCTATCCTTTCCTCATCAGACTAACTCCCCTTCTTTCTTATGATTCCCTGTACTCTGCCAAAGGTTTGGTCATGAGTCTTTGCTTTGAAAACACTGCTAGTTAGAGTTTTTCAAATGCGCTCAGTAGACTCCTGTCAATGTTTAATGCGCATCCCATCTGTCTTTCAAAATGAGGATTGATAATCTTACCCCATGTCCACTCTCTTGATTATCTTTTTTAGGTGTATAGATTTCATTATGTTTATCATATCTTATAGGTCTATATAAGTGAGTATATACCGTGTTTGTCTTTCTCCTTCTGGGATATTTCACTCAGGATGATCTTTTCTAGGTCCCACCATTTGCCTGCAAATTTCATGATTTCCTCCTTTTTGATTGCTGAGTAGTATTCCATTGTGTAAAAATACCACAATTTCTGAACCCATTCCTCTGTTGATGGACATCTGGGTTGTTTCCAGGTTCTGGCTATTACAAATAAAGATGCTACAAACATGGTTGAGCAAATATCTCTTTTGTGTACTTGAGCAAACTTTGGGTATATACCTAGCAGTGGTATAGCTGGGTCTTGAGGAAGCACTATTCCTAATTGTCTTAGAAAGCGCCAGATAGATTTCCAGAGTGATTGTACCAGCTTACATTCCCACCAGCAGTGGAGGAGGGTTCCCCTTTCTCCACAACCTCTCCAGCATGTGTTGTCCCTTGAGTTTTTCATTTTGGCCATTCTGATGGGTGTAAGGTGAAATCTCAGGGTTGTTTTGATTTGCATTTCCCTGATGGCTAATGAGGATGAGCATTTCTTTAAGTGTTTCTCTGCCATTCGATATTCCTCTGTCGAGAATTCTCTGTTTAGCTCTGTTCCCCATTTTTTAATTGGATTACTTGGTTTGCTGCTTTTCAGCTTCTTTAGTTCTTTGTATATACTCAATATTAGTCCTCTGTCAGATAAAGGGTTAGTGAAGATTCTTTCCCAATCTGTAGGCAGGCGTTTTGTTTTGATGACAGTGTCCTTTGCTTTACAGAAATCTTAATCCCAGATTCTCTAAGGGTGTCCTAGAGTGAAGAGCCTGAGAAGGGACCATTCCTGCCTCTGCCTATGTTATATATATCCGTTTAAATTATTTTTTACATTGTGGCGTAATTTTTGTCAGACAATTCATGCATATGGTTTAGTTTTTCAAATTTAGTGGAATGTAATTTTTTGTTGTTTTTCTTTTTCCGAGACAGGGTTTCTCTATGTAGCCCTGGCTGTCTTGGACTCTCTTTGTAGACCAGACTGGCCTCAAACTCAGAGATCCATCTGCCTCTGCCTACCCTGGCATTACAGGCATGTGCCACTGCTCCTGCTTGGAATATAATTTTTCAAGGAATGGCATAGTGATATTTTTATGTTCATTAGTATTTGTTGTAATCTCTCTCTATGTGTATATAATTATATTAATTTGGATGCTCTAGTTATTTCTTTTGTTTAGCTTGTTACTCTTGTTTTTTTCCCTTTATTATTATTATTATTATTAATTACACTTTATTCATTTTGTATCCCCCCATAAGCCCCTCCTTCCTCCCCTCCTGATCCCACCCTACCTCCCCTTTCTGCATGCATGCTCCTCCCCACGTCTACTGATAGGGGAGTCCTCCTCTTCTTCCTTCTGATCTTAGTCTATCAGATCACATCAGGGATGGCTGCATTGTCTTCTTCTTTGGCCTGGTAAGGCTGCTCCCCGCTCAGGGGGAGGTGATCAAAGAACAGGCCAATCAGTTTATGTCAGAGGCAGTCCCTCTTCAATCACTATGTAAGCCACTTGGACACTAAGCTGCCATGGGCTACATCTGTGCAGGGTTTCTAGGTTATCTCCATGAATAGTCATTGGTTGGAGTATGAGTCTTTGGGAACTTCCCTGTGTTCAAATTTTCAGGTTCTGTTGCTCTCCTTGTGGAGTTCCTGTCTTGTTTTTATTTTCAGAATTACAACGCTTTTTTTAATAAATCTTTTTTTTACAAGAAGCAAGTTTCTTTTTTTAATTTATTTTTTAAATTTATTATATTTATATTTATTATAAGTTATATTTATTATATATATTATTATATTTATTATTATATATAATATATATATTTATATATATAATATATATATTTATATATATAAATTTATTATATTTATATTTATTATAAGTTATATTTATTATATATTATTATATTTATTATTATATATAATATATATATTTATTAATATATATAATATATATTATATAAATATATATTATAATATATTTATTATATATATTATATATATTATATATATATAATATATATATTATTATATATATATTATAAGTTATATAATATAACTTATATTTATTATAAGTTATTTTTTATATTAATCACAGGTTATTTACTTTGTATCCCAGCCATAGCCCCCTCCCTCATTCCTTCCCAGTCCCACCCTCTCCCCCTCATCTTCTTCCTGCTTCTTTCCAGGTCCACTAATAGGGGCCTTCCATCTGACCCTACCTTATCAATTCTCTTCAGGACTGGCTGCAATGTCCTCTTCTGTGGCCTAGCAAGGCAGCTCCTCCCTTAGGGATGGGGGAGGCAAAGATGTCACACAATATTTTATTATTATGGAAATGGATGTTGTGCTTTCAATTTTCATTGAATTCTAGGAAGTCTTTAATTCTTTCTTTATTTCTTCCCTAACCAAGCTGTCATTGAGTAGCAAGTTGTTCAATTTCCATGTTTGTGCAGGTTTTTTGCTGTTTCTATTGTGGTTGAGGTACAGATCTTCTTGTATCTGCTTAGGTTTGCTTTGTAAACAACTGTATGGTCTATTTTGGAGAAGGTTCTATGAGGTGCTGAAAAGAAGGTATACTCTTTTGATTTTGGGTGGAAAGTTCTGTAGACATCTATTAGGTCCATTTGATTTAGGGCCTCTCTAAGTGCCCTTGTTTCCCTGTTTTGCTTCTGACTGGATGATCTGTCCCTTGGTGAGAGTGGAGTGTTGAAGTCTCCCACTATTAAGGTGTTGGGATCAATGTGTGATTTCAGCTTTAATAGTGTTTCATTTACAAATGTAGGTGGTCTTGTATTTGGGGCATAGATGTTCAAAATTGTGATATCCTCCTGTTGGAATTTTCCTTTGATGAGAAGGAAGTGCCCTTTCTCTTCTTTTTTGATTAATTTTGGTTGAAAATCTATTTTATTAGATATTAGGATCCCTACCCCCACTTATTTTCTGAGTCCATTTGCCTGAAAAACATTTTTCCAGCCCTTTACTCTGAGGTAGTGTTTATCTTTTTTGCATAGGTGTGTTTCTTGGATGCAGCAGAATGTTAGATCCTGTTTCCTCAACCATTCTGTTAGTCTGTGTCTTTTTATTGGAGAGTTGAGACCTTTTATGTTGATAGATAATAGTGACCAATGACTGTTAGTTCCTTTTATTGTAGAGTTGGTAGTCTTACTATGATTCAGTGCTTTTTTTTTTTCTTTTATTTTTTTGGGAAATTATCTGTATCCTATATTTTCTTTGGTGTAGTTGCTTTCATTGGATTGGAGTTTTCCTTCTAGTATTTTCTGTAGGGCTGGGTTGCTGTGTAGATATTGCTTAAATTTAGTTTTATCATGGAATATTTTATTTTCTCCATCTATGTTGATTGTAAGCTTTGCTGGGTATAGTAGTCTGAGTTGGCATCTGTGTTCCCTTAAAGACTGCATGACCTCTGCCCAGACACTTCTGGCTTTCATAGTTTCTGATGTGAAGTCTGGTGTGATTCTGATAGGTCTACCTTCATATGTGACCTTTAAAAATATAAAATGCTTCACAAATTTGCGTGTCATTCTTGCACAGGGGCCATCCAAATTTTCTCTGTATTGTTCCAATACTGCCAATGTGAGCACAGAATTACAACTCTTTGTTTCCTTGATTCATTGTATTTTTATCCATTTCCATTTTATTAATTCTACTTTTATCTTAATTATTTTTTTCCATTCACTTATTGGCACATGGCTTCCTCTTATTTATCCAAGACTATAATGTGTTTTATTTATTGATTGGTTTACTTATTTATCTAGCTACTTATTTTTTGAAATAAGTGGGTTTTTATGGCTATAAACTTACCTATTAGACTGTTTTTATTTATTGCATACATTTCAGTTCAACATATATTCCTATTTATTTGATTCCAGGAATTTAAAAACTTTTTGTTTTATTTCTGTTGTGAGTGAACTCACCATTTAATAGTGTTTTATTCAATCTATGTAAAGTTTGTATATTTTCTGTTGCTTAAATATTTTAAAATTTTGTTTGATAGATTTTATTTGAGAGATTTTTTAATTTTAATTTTATGTTTTTATATTAATTACAGTTTATTCAGTTTTTATCCCAGCTATAGTCTCCTCCCTATTCCCTCCCAATCCCTCCCTCCCTCCCTCATCTCCTCCCATGCCCCTCTCCAAATCCACTGATAGGGGAGGTCCTCCTCCCTTTCCCTCTGACCTTAGCAGATCAGTTCTCATCAGGACTGGCTGCATTGTCCTTCTCTGTGGCCTGGTAAGGTTGTTACCCCCTCAGGGGGAAGTGATCAAAGAGCCAGCCACTGAGTTCATGTCAGAGACAGCCCCTGTTCCACTTACTAGGATACCCACTTGGACACTGGGCTGCCATGGACTACATCTGTGCAGGGGTTCTAGGTTAACTCTATGCATGGTCCTTAGTTGGAGAATCAGTCTCAGGAAAGATCCCTGGGCCAAGATTTTTTTGGTTTTGTTGCTCTCCTAGTGGAGCTCCTGTCCCCTCCAGGTTTTTCTATCTCCCCCTTCTTTCATTAGATTCCCTGCACTCTGCCCAATGTTTGGTTATGAACCTCAGCATCTACTTTTATTCACTGTTGGGTAGAGTCTTTCAGAGGCCCTCTGTGGTAGGATCCTGTCCTGAGATAATTTAATTTAGACATTTATTTTGTTGTTTAGGGGATGACCTTTGTGTTGATAAGGGGGGAAGGCATCACAAAGTGACCCCCTGCTGTGTTAATTTCTACCTTCTTTGTTTAGATGGATTGTTTTAATGATGCTTAGTGTACCCATGATCAATGCATAGGTGTTAAAGTTGTAATGTCTTCCTGATGGATTGTTCACTTAATAACTTTAATGTGGTAGTATTTATCTCTTTTGACTAGCTTTGGCTTGAAGTCTGCTTTGTCAAATGTAAAAACAGCTACAGCTGATTAATTCTGAGTCTTTTATACTTGGAAAACCTTTTCCCACCCTTCCACCTTAAGATTGTATCTATCTTTGATGACAAAGAGTATTTCTTTGAAGACATAAATTCATGCTTTCTGTTTTAAAATTCAATTTGTTAGTATATGTGTGCTTGTTTTGTGAACTGATATCATTAATCATCAGAATATCTGTTGTTCTGAGCACAAGAAAAATGACACCTCAGCACTACAATAGTTTTTGAACATTGCTAGCAGATCCACTAAAAGAATTTTTAAAAACCCAATAATTCAAGTGACTTAACTTCAATACAAATCCAAACACAAAAAACACAAGAGATATGAAAAACCAACGAAATATGACTCTTCCAAAAACTACTAATCCCATAGTTATGTCCTCAAAAGGGAATGAATTAGAAAAAATTTTCAAGAAAATAATTCATAAGACTGATTGCAAATATATCCTAAGAAATGTAAATAAGCACAAATAAACTCCTAAATGAATCCCAGCAGAACATACACAAACAGTAGCATGAAATAAGCTAGTGAATATAGGATATAGGAGTAGAAATAAATACAGAGAAATTGATACAGAAAACTGATAAAAGCTGAAGTTCCAGAAATGAAAAAATTAAGTCAAATATAACCTTCATTAAAGCCTCACAACAGAATGCTCTGAGGGGTTGGGGTATAGTATGAGGGTTTGAAGACAACACAAAAGAATTTTGATATTAGACAGTACAAAGATACATTAATACAAACTACTGGGAATTTAAAACTATGAATTATAAGCATAGAAGAATTATTCTAAATTCTCACCCATCGAGACAAATTTCCAGTGAAATTATAGTTGAAAGGGATAGAATAATTTAAAAGTTGATAGTTTATAAAGTTCATAATGGATTTTATACAGATTGTGATTTAATTTACTTAATCAAAGATATGAACACTTTTGTTGCTTTAGATTTGTTTATTTTCATATAATTTTAACTGCTCAGTATTAGGCTTTTTAATCTCATCCCCACTCTGAGTGTCTCTCTTGTTGCTAAGTCTCTTTGTAATAATATAGCTCATAGTACTGGACTGATGCATAAGTAAATTTATAATTCATCCAGAAACACTCAGTTTTAATTCTCCAAGATACATTTATCTTACAACCAAGTGTAGATCAACAGATAAAAATAGGACTCCTTCCAAATGAGCAAAATATTTAGCCAACACGTTGAAAATTATAAGATTAATTTTTATTGACTTAATTGGGTTAGACAGTGCATCTTACTGCATTTTAGTTTTAATTGCCATCTCTCATTTGGGATAAAATATTTCAAGGAAAGTCTAAGAAAAATATTCTGTAAAGGCTGCTCTCCCTTTGTTCATGTTCTTAGCTATCTTGAGACTCTTAACAGGGATTGAAAATCTTGAAGAACCAATTGTAGCTATTGATGAAATTGAAAGAGGTTTTTTTGTGTCATCTCTTCGAAACCTAGCTTTTTATTTACCAACTTGATGTTCCTCAAACATTAATTTTTAATTTTTTAAAAATTTTGTGTGTAATGAGTGAGATTCACAGGTTCTCAGGCACACTCACAGAGGTCAGAAAATGGCGTCTTGCTGTCAGTCCTTCTACCGGGTGGGCGTCAAGAACTGAAGCCATGTTGTCAGGCTTGGCAGGAAGTACTTCCACTTGCTGAGCCATATCCCCAACCCCTGGGATACTTTTATTTAAAACCCTGCAGAGATATTTTAATTTTCATTAGAGAACAATTTCAAGGGTGTTTATTAATTTTTAGATATAGTCTTAGTTACGTTCTGAATTAGCTATATTGATATTTTTACCTTCTAGTACAATGCTGTAGAGCAGCTTTTATTTTCAAGTGTTTAATTTTCCTGAAGTGTGTCTTTCTATATGTGGAATTTGTGATTACTAGTTACCCTGTTTAATTAAAATTTTAATATTTCTCATATGCAAGTTGAAGTTAACTTTCCCCCCTTTTCTGTAACTTATTGTTAAAAGTGTTAAAATATTTTCCATAAGGACACTGGAAGGAGTGACTTTGGGAACAAATGACCAAAATAACCGATTATCTATTTCTGAAGTCAACAGTAGTTCCTTCTGTGCCAATGGCTGTTACTGTCCTAAACTATATTCTGTTCCTGAAATAAGGGGATATAAATGCTTATGAAAATAATGAGAGATTGAAATAATCTTGAGAACTAAATAAGATTAGAGACTGTCAGACTCAAAGAAGGGTGGGCGTTTTTTATTATTTACTATAAGAACTAAAACTAATTTAGACCTTCATGGGTTTAATATCAGTAGATCTGTCATAAGTACTTTTTCCTCAGTTAACACTTAGGCTAAACAAAAGTAACCTGTGACTATATACCAGCCAGTGAAAAAAAATGAATGTGAAATTATCTGACTAAATTTTAAATTATCCAATGGTTGTTAATAAAACAGGGCTCAAAAATAAAAGCTAAGGCCTGAAAGAATAGCACTGTGATTGAACAGAGAGAAATAGAACTGTGATGAGTCTATGAATACATTTTCCATGAAGAGTTGGAGGGAAAGAAATAAAGTGGAGAGTATTGCTTTATTCTTATTATTCTGACATTCTTTTTGATTCCCCCTTTTAAGACTTTAAAATTGTCAGACTCACAGAAAACAGTTATGCAATGGGCACTGACATGACACTCAGCTATGTTCAGTAATTTAAAACTTTTTGTAGGATAGTAATTTTGAACATCTCAGAATGAATTTAACCAAACCAGTTAGATCCTCTTATATGATCATAACCTTGCCACTATTACATTTTGATTGGTTGATTGGCATATCCAGAAGTTTGGTATATCATTGGGATTGCGCTTCTATTTCACATTTAATATGCCATAATAAAGAAAGTTGGAATACCTCATAGTTAAAAAATGAATAAGAACTTAATTTTTTTTCCTAAAGAGTATTTTAGTTCCTTTCTTTAAGAAATTGAATTTAAGACTACTTTGTAGGACAGGGAGTTGTCTCAGTAGTTAAGAACACTTTTTGCTATTGCAGAAGACATAGGCTTGATTCCCAGCACCCACACAGCAGCTCACAAACATCTTTAACTAATGTCCCAGGGGATCACATGATTTATTCTCACTTATGAGGTCACTACATGGAGATATACATACATACAGTCAAAACACTCACACAGTTAAAAACTAATTAAATATTTTTTTTTTTGTAAATTAACTTAATGTTTCCTTCTTGTTTTGAAAGGTGCTAGCTTTTTGTACAATTCATGATTTTCCCTTTATCATTCTCACATAGCATCAGTATTTAAAGCCTCCGATGTTGTGGATATAAGCATTTTTTTTTTTTAATTTTAATCCCAGGTGTGGGATGTGGGACTGATTCAGATAGTCCACAGCAGCAAACTATTTGCCTAATGCAATCTCTGAGAGGAGCTCTTTGCCAGCAGTAGATAGTTTGAATCTGAGGACTCTGGAATGCCTCAGATTTAAATGCCAGAACCCAGAACATAGAGAGTGTGGAGGTACTCCGAGAAAAAACAAGGCTGCTACTGCTTTTCTCTTTCAGAAGTTGTTGCTGTTGCTGCAGTGAGACAAGAAGTTGGAGATCTCTTGAAATGACCCTAACCAGCGGGAAGCAGCTAAGAGAACTGCGCCCCCTCTCCCACTAACCCTTTCTCT